CAAGCTTGCGGGACCCGGCTTTGTCAGCGGTCCAGGGGGGCCGTGGCATGTCCGTAGGGAGGGGGCGGCGGCGGAGGGCTGACCTCGGGAGCGTGGCCGCGTTGAGGGGGCGGGCCCCGCACCTGGCCGCGCTTACCTAGGCCAGTGCCCTGAGAAACAGTTGCTCAGAGAGGCTTGGAGGGGGTCCCCTGGAACCGGGAAGATTTGGCCCGGCCCAGGGCTAGCTTGGGGTCTGCGACGGACTGCTGTCTGACCCACCGGCGATAGCTCACCCGCCGGTCCCAGGAGACCGACGACCCCTGGCTCCACAAGCCCAAGTGGTTTAAGTAGTTCAGGGCGCCTGCGGAGGAGGCACTAGGTGGGCCGTCGGGCCCCGAGCCCAGCCCCAGGCCCCGCGCCGAGCCTCCGGGCAGACCTCCCCNCCCACAGCATCATCAGGCCGCCGCCCCCGGAGAGGTAGGTGGTAAGCAGGTAGGATATGAGCGGCTTCGGCTTCAGCGCCTGGCAGTTAACCGCGAAGAGCGTCATGCTGAGGACAGTCAGGAGCCCTGCACGTGGGTGGAGCCAGAGACGGACACAAGGCTAAACAGGTACCCAGGACCCCCAGAAAGAAGAGAGACAGGACAGCCCCCTCAGGCAGACACACACACACACTCTGACACTCACACACACTCACACTCACACACTCACAGTCACACTCACACACACTCACACACACTCACAGTCACACTCACACACACTCACACACACACTCACACACAGTCACACACACACACTCACCCACACACACACTCACACAGTCACACACACACTGACACATTCACACACACACAGTCACACACACACAGTCACACACACACAGTCACACACACACACATTCACACACACACACACCCACACACACACACACTCACAGTCACACACACACTCTCTCACACACACCCACACACACTCACACACACTNCATTCACACACACACACCCACACACACTCACAGTCACACACACACTCTCTCACACACACCCACACACACTCACACACACTCACACAGTCACACACACTGACATTCACACACAGTCACACACACTCACACACACACTCTCACACACACACACTCTGACACACAGTCACACACACACACCCACACCCACACACTCACACACACACACACTTACACACTCACACGCACGTGCATGACAGAGATGCCTGGCAGGTCCCCCACACACTCACCCTGACTGAGAATGACAGAGAAAGGAGAACTGTGAGAGCAGGCAAAGATTCCAAGAAACTTTTAAGGACATACCCAGATGACTGCAGGACAGACACTCTGAGATACACCTCCTGAGGGACAGATGCTGGGGTGTGGGGGGCACCCCTCCCCCAAGCCAACACTTACCAATGCTGCAGCTGAGGAAACTGAAGGCAAGGTCAAGCTTGTTGAGGCGGCGGAAGACTGGCTGGAAGGAGAGGCCCATGCTGGCCAGAAGGATGAAACTCAGGGCCAGGGCCAGCGTCGTGAAGCCCATGCTCATGTGGATGAGAACTGGGGGGTTGTCCCACAGTCATCCCCAGACCCCCTCTAAGGTCAGCCTCCAAACTCATTCCTGCTGACACCCGTGAACAGCACCCCAAAAGGCCCCCAGGCATAACTTATTGAGAGGGAGAGGAACATCAGTTTGTTGTTCCACTTATTGATGCATCATTGATTGATTCCTGTATGTGCCCTGACTGGGGATCGAACCCGCAACCTTGGTGTACTGCGATGACACCCTAACCACTGAGTACCAGGCCAGGGCTCCACTGACTCTTAAGATAAATAATATTAAAACTACACAGTGTTCTGAAAATTTCGTAAGTGCTCGTTGGAGATCCGAAATGAAGGTAGATGCTCTGGCCAGTGTGGTTCAGTTGGATGGGCATCATCCTGTGCACTAAAAGGTCCCAGGTTCTATTCCTGATCAGGGCACATGGCCCAGTTGGGGGTTCGATCCCAGTACGGGTGTGAAGGAGACAGCCAATCAATTACTCATCATTGATGTTTCTATCTCTCTCTCTCTCCCTTCCTCTCTCTGAAGTCAATGAAGACATATTAAAAAACAAAAACAGCCCGGCCGGGCATGGCTCAGCGGTTGAGCGTTGACCTAGGATCCAGGCGATCAGGGTTCAATTCCTGGTCAGGGCACATGCCCAGGTTGCAGGCTCAATCTGCAGGTGAGGGTGTACAGGAGGCGGCCGATCAGTGACTCTCTCATCATTGATGTTTCTATCTCTCTCCCTCTCCCTTCCTCTCTCTGAAATCAATAAAGATATACTAAAAAAAAAAAAAAAATTCCAGGAGACACCCTCGACAAGACCTTCAGAGAATCTCCAGAGACCCTTTATTTACACTGTAAAGATTTCCCCCAAGGACACCTGAAGATTCCTGCCCCTGATAATCTCCAAAGAGCCCTGTGCAGAGTACCCCATAGCCTGTCCATGGCCCCACTGACCTGTAACTTCGCCCAGGTTGGCGCACTTGTATTTCTTGCAGTTAGTCCAGAAGCCCACGTAGCCATTGTAGGAACCCACCAGGAAGGCCATACGCCCATCCACCACGCTGAGCAGCATCAGGGTCGCGAGGATGCTGAAGACGAGGGACCAGCCCCGTAGGATGAACCTTCTGTCTTCTTCCCAGGAGAAGTTTGGATCGGCTGGGAAAGAATCGAGTCCTGGGGGTCAGGATCTGCCTGCACCCTTCTGCTGCATGCTAGTGTCCATCCTCACCCAAACCTCACCTTTTACCCCGTTCTCAATTCCCTTCCACCCAAACTCCGACCCTAACCTCACCCCCATCTCTGTTCCTGTTCTCTTCAGCACCATTCACAGCCCCATGTCCTCAACCCCAAACACAACCCCATTCCCATCTCCAACCCTCATACCCAACTCATCCCCCATCCACAACCCCATTCCAAACTCAACCCCATCCTCTGGCCCCTATTCCCCAACTCTAGAACCATCCCCACTCTCGACCTCATTCCCTTATGTCCTTTGATGTTACAAAGCCCAACCTAGGATACACATAACTAAGACATAGGTTCCAAAGTATGTTCACAAGGCCAAGACCTATGGATGAGTCCATGGCCAGTGTCCCAGCTTCCTGGAACCCCTCCAACTGTCATGGAGCATTGGCCGGAGCACCAAAGGGTCACAGGTTTGATTGCCCATCAAGGGCATGTACCTGGGTTGCAGGTTGGAGCCTCGGTCGGGGCACCTGCAGAGAGCAACCAATCAATGTGTCTCTCTCACATCATCTCTCTCTCTCTCTCTCTCCCCCCCCCTTCCACTCTCTCTGAAAAGCAGTGGAAAACTATCCTCAGAAGAGGATTTAAAAAAAAAAAAAAGATGTAAGAGTTGGTAAGATTTTTTTGGTTTTTTTTTGGTTTGTTTGTTTGTTAGTTTTTCAAAAGATCATCATAAAAGCCAAAGGGTGAGGGAAAGAGTAGTTTGCAAGTCCCCACTCCTGATGGGAAAGGCTGCACATACACGTTGGGGTGCCTGAACCCCTGTGGGCCTCTCTCCAGCCCTTCACCAGCCCTGTGAATTGTAGGCCTTTGAGGGTGGAGAGTAGCCCCATCTTCTCTGGGTCCCTGAGGCCTCAGAGAAAGGTAAAGAGAGATAGAGACAGAGAAAGAAAGGGAGCCAGGAGAGACATGGAAATCGAGAAGGCAATAAATAAAGAGATGAAATGGATTCAGAGACAGCCCTGGGAGGGGCGGGGCGTGGTGGGGCAGGTAGGAAGAGGGAATTGTAAATTCAGATCTCAGGCCCTCAGGAAACTGTTAGCACTGATCTCAGAGATGCTGGTGACTCAGCTCTACCTAGTCCTGACCCCACTCTGGCCCCTTTCTAACCCTGTTGTCTCCACCCTGAGATTGTTCCCTACCCCTCAGTCCTCTCATCGCTCTGACATAGCTGTGACCTCTTCTTGACCCAATCCTGACCCTGCCCAGACCTCACACTGAACACACCCAGCCCCAGCCCCAAATCCCATGTCACTCACACAGGTCTAGTGTGGAGGATGAGTTCATGGCCAATGTCCCAACTTCCTGGAACCCCTCCAACTGTCATGGAACCTCCCCCTGCCCCCAGCTGCAGGCCACCCTGGAGCCCTGAGGCCTGCCTGTTGACAGTAGGGGAGACCAAGAAACACTGACGAAGGGACAAAAAGACTTAAACCCCAAGGGACAGAGCCTGAATCCTGGAGAGAGACCAACGGACTTCCAGGTGGCCACAGAGGTGCCTGGAAAGAAGGGCTGAGGCAGTTGGTAGACTGTTGAGTGCATCTGGGGACTGGCTTGGGCCTGCATCTCCACATGTCCCAATCTGACCAACAGAACAACCAGTCAGATCTCCTTCCAGAAGCTCCCAACAACAACACCCAAGATGAGGCTCAAGACCCTTCACCAATTACCTACATGCCCAGGGACAGCGCCCAAGACCCTCCTCCATCCATTCTCTACACTCGCCGGGTCAGCATCCAAGAACATCCACCCACTGTCCACACTCGCCGGGTCAGCATCCAAGAACATCCACCCACTGTCCACACTCGCCGGGTCAGCATCCAAGAACATCCACTCATTCTCCACACTCCACCCATTCTCCACACTCGCCGGGTCAGCACCCAGGAGACAGCACCCATTAGTAACGATAACCAAACAAGTACCCAGGAGACACCACCACCCATTAGCAGCAGTCGCCGAGTCAGTATTCAAGAGACACCACCAATTATCCACAGTTCCCATTTCAATACCCGAGACGTCCCACCAAGTTTCCAAACTCGCCGCTTCAGTGTCCGCAGGTCTTCGTTAGTTTCCCCCATCCCCTTGACCTGTATACAGTCAGTCGCCTGCACGACTGAAGACACTTCTGAAGACGACCTGCCAACAACCCAGACTCGCCACTTAAGTATTAAAGGCTCGAAAGTAGCAAGCCGGGCCCAAGTGGATGTCCCCCCTTCAATTACTAACAGTCCCCAGGCCAGTATCGAAAGCATTGATTCAATTCTCTGCGCCTCCCAGGAGGTTTTCAAAGACTCTTTGTACAGCTTCCAATTCAGCACAAGTTCAGACGACAGCACCATCTACAGTATACCACCAGGAAGCTTCGTGGCCAGTTCTAGCGGGTGAGAGGCAGAGGTCCAGGCAAAAGGCCAGGTTCTGGGTTAGAATCTGTAGGGAGGGGCAGCAGCCAGGGACCAGAAATATGGCTGGTATATCTGAGACTGGAGGTTGGACCTAGGTGTGGGCAGGTCTTAGAAGCTGGAACTGAAAGCTGGCCCTGGGTAGGGCATGGCACAGAGGCTGGACGTGTGATTCAACCTAGAGACTGAATTTGGGGGTGGCAGGGCCTGGAAGCTAGATCTGCAGGCAAGGCAGGACCTGGGAGATACAGGCACGAAGGATGGACATAAGGAAGATAGAGTCTGAAGGCTAGACTGGGCGGGACAGGGTCTGGCAGCTGGACCTGGGGTGGCTGGACTGGGGGCTGGACTCAGCGCTGACACTGGTGGTGGGCAATCTGCTGCAGGTTTCAAAGTGGGCAATTTCGCAGATATTCACAGCTGCCCATAGGCACCCGGCTGCTGCATGAGGCCAAGAAGATCAGCCGCCTGCTGAGCCTGGTGCTGAGCCTGTTTGGCATGGCGATCCTCAGTCTCATCACTCTAGGCCAGCCCTGGATCCACTTCCAGGTGCCACTGTTGCCTCCTGGGGACCCTGCTGGGCCCAAGACCATCCCCATCAACACTATCTTCTTTTTGCGGTGTGCTGACATCTCCTGCCTGCGCGAGCAAGACCACAAAGCTTGTAAGGCCTGCCTTAGCCTCCCCACTCCTGGGACTCATTTCTCCTCTGTCCCAGGGGCCCCTTCCTGCCTTCCCTGGGATGACCCTCACTGCCCCGGGTTTGTCCTGCCTTCCCTGGGATGACCCTCACTGCCCCAGGTTTGTCCTGTCTCCTCTGCGATGGTCCTCACTCCCGCCAGATCACCCTCCCTTCCCCAGGATGGTCCCCACTGCCCCATCCTCACCGCCTTGCACCCATCTTCACCTACACGGTACTCATCCTGGCGTTCCCGACTCTCTCCCTTCCCCAGACTTGCTGGACTCTTCCTGGGCCTTCTTCCTCACCGCGGGCATCTCCAGCCTCTTCCTCTGCATCATACTCATAAACATCATCTACTTCACCATCTCCAACTTGCCCATTCTGGACTTCTCCAACATCATTATCAGCATCCTGGCAGGCATGGCACTGAGGTCCTTCCTTTAGGGACACGGGGGGAAGGCGAACCTACCGTGCGTGATACCCAACCCCCTCCCCACCAAACTCCAACCCCATCCCCATCTTCACCTTCAGCCCCAGTCCAAAACCGATCTCCCCGGCCCATCCCGGTAAAAAATATCAACTTCCAACCGAGCCCCACCTGCAGCCCCAATACCAGTCCCCACAGCACTTCCCGTTGCCATCGCCAGCACATCTCAAACTCACCCACCTTCCCTGCTGTGATGTCCATGCCCATCCCCACCCCCACTCCAATTTCATCTTCTCGCCAATATCCAAGCCATCCCCCCTTACAGATCTCAACACCTAGTTGCAACCCCATCCCTATCACCTGTGAACCTCGCTTTCAAACTCAACCCAACCCATTTCCAGCTCCATCCTCTTACCAATCTCCAAGCCCTCAGTATCCCCAGCCACAGCCCAACACCAGCCTCAACCTCCTCCAGCCCTTATCACTCAGACTTCACCTTCTGCCGGGTACCCAACTCCATTTCCAGCCCCAGCCCCAGCCGCAGCCCAAATCCTGTCTCACCACCACCACCCGCTCTGTGATTTTGTTCTGAGCCACAGTTTTCTCATCCGTAGGGTGGGGATAAGATTTCCCACCATGTGGAAATGTCATGAAGACTGAATTAGAAAACGTCAGTGTTCAATGTAGCTATTGTACGTGTCCCTAGCTCCATAGTCCCACCCAAGTAACTCAAATTTTATGTTTCAGTTAGAACAGTTTAGTTCCACTTGCATGTCAAATCACACTTTTTAGAAAAGGAGGCAGTGGGGAGCACTTTAATTTGAAAATGAAGGATATTGTCTTCTCTTGCAGTAACTGACCACAACTTTCAGTTGCACCGAGGGAAGGTTTTTGGAGAGTGATGGTAAAGCCAGGAAGGGAGACTGCTCAACTTCCCATTTCTTTGTTAGCAAACGTTAAGCGTCCATTTGTCTATTAGCTCTTCCCGATTGTTTAAATATATGGTACATTGGGTGGAAAACACCTCAATTTTATGTCATCTAAACTAGGACATTTTTCTATAAGAAAATCATTTCTGCCCAGTCTCCCTTTTAATTAAGTGGGAAACACTTCCTATATTATGAAAATAAAGAAAAAATTACCCAGGCTCTAGCCAGGTAGCTCAGTTTTTTAGAACATTGTCCTGATACACCAAGGTTATGGATTTGAGCCCCAGGCAGGGCACATACAAGAATCAACCAATGAATGTATAAATAAGAGGGACAACAGATTGATGTTTCTCTCTCCCTCTCTCCCGTCCTCTCTCTCTCTCCCCTTCTCTCCCTAAAAAAATTAATAAATAAAAATTACCCAGTACTCCATCCACTACCTGAAAAAAAAAGTTTCCTTTTCACAAATTATCTTTAATTCATGTCATTTCAAAATACAGCTAAAATGTCCAGAATAACAGAGTTCCTTATGCACTACCTCAGAAGCCCCAAATGAAAGACCCGCTACAAGGATAATCTATCTTGATTCTTGAGGGCTCACCTGCATGCCAGGAAATGTGCCAATCTCAATAACTCTTCACGACAGCCAAGGAGATGGTTCCCATGATGATGCCCACTTTACAGATGGGGAAATGAGGCTCAGAGAGATGGAGTGCCTCCCTAAGGTGGGAGGCAGAGGCAGGACAAGAGCTGCAGTCAGTTGGTCCCAGGGCCCGTGGCTTTAGACACCACCATTGCCTGCTGAAAGACCAAGACGTCCTGCCCGTGAGCAGAGGTACAGGGAGGCAAAGGAAGTGGTAAAATAATGGCAAGAGCCAGGCAGCTACACGACCACGGGCAGGGGTCCTCACACACCTGCCGCCCAGCCTCCTAACACCTGTGCTCACGCAGGGACCGCCATGGTATTGGGTATCCTGTTCTACCTGATGCAGGCCCACGAGTTCCTGCAGGAAGGCATGACCTACAGGCTGGGGCGCAGCTTCTACCTGGCGTGGACCGGCGTCTTCTTCTTCATGTTGACCGGTCTGGACTGGGATGGGGTTGGGGTTGGGCATGGGTTTGGGGATACAGAGGGGGAGTGGGTGGGAAGGAGCTGGGGG